TTTTGTTAAACATACATATTTGCTCATTCCAATATTATGAAAGCTATTTACTTCATAATAAAAGCTTTTGGATGGAATGAGGCATTTCTGAACTTCTCCTTCATGATTAATGTACAGTGTAAGGAGCCATTGCTTTGAGACAGGTGCTACAGAAGCCAAGTGTCAGGTTATCAATCAGCTCCTGCTTCACATTAATTCCAGTTTAATGACCAGAACTCTTTTTTATTCTTAACATCTTGTTTTAAATATTGAACTAAGAGGATTCCAACAGGACACACTGCAGAGAGCACCCACCTTGCAGTGCATGTAGCATGAAGGCATCAAGCAGGAGTTATTTTACCATCAGCCAAAGCACATTCTTAAACAAGAACATCCGGCACCATACACTTCAAGGGAAGATCTAACCTGCTGCAGTAACACGAGGGCATCCTATGCACAAGCACAGCTCAAACCCACAGGCAGCTCTTGGTCAAACAGGTTGATAGCTGAACAGGCTACGTGCTCATTTCCTCTACCCCTCAGTACTGTGGTGCTGTTCTGTTGATGGCACTGCTGGCTGGCCCAAATCAGTATTGCCTCTGGTATTGATGCAAGCGAGAGGAACCTGAGGTCACCTGAACATGCCTTTGTATGCTGGGTGAATGGCAGTGCAGCGTACGGCCTTGGGTGGAAGTGCTGCCTGGAATAAAAGGGCTTAATGGTTCAGCACAGAAAGGAGAAGGTCAGAACATTCAGCACCTGACATGAACCTGCCTGCACTTCTTCATAGCCCACACAGACAGTCTCACATCACAGCCCCTCAACATAATTAGAGAGCTCTGCATCTTCAGCAGGCAGTACAGGATGAAAAAACAACCCTGAAACAGGTGGAAAGGCTAAAAGGCCCCGGGCTGCAGCAAGGCTCCAGGACCTCTGCTGGTAAAGGAGGAAGGATCTCAACAAACTAGAGATCCACAAACTGAGAGTACCACAGGCAGAGCAGCCTGTGTTCATACTTACAGATGTGGATGGAACACAACACATCCCCATTTCTGGCATTCTGCTGCTACTTATGTTCATTGAAAGGTGAATGGGGCCTGATACAGTGGCAACAACACTGTCCTCTCCTGAACTGCCCAAGTGGCAATTTCTGATGTATTTTCATTTTGATACTAACTCCCACGCCTATGCTTCAATGCTACTGGAAGGTCATACAGCAGAGTTCAGATGCAGCTTTATCCCTCCTATACTCTCCTAGTGAGACATCCTTAAGCGACCCAGAACGACTTGGCCTGTGGTGCTGGAATTTGAAATGGATTTGACATTGCTGCTTTCATTGTCTTCCAGTATATTCCATGGAAGTTGTGGCAGCTTTTGTTGATAGCTGTGTGTAGTTCTCATTAACATATTGCAGCCTTGCACACCACAAACCAGAAGAGGCATGGAGATCAGATCTGTGTCAGCAGAATCAGTTAGGTAAGCACAGACATCTCTTCCTGACAACAAATATGGACATCCGCAGAAAAGCTGACATGGTGTACAGCTGTGAGAAGCATAAAGGGAAAATCTTATGGCAAGACAATTCCTTAATATAAACATGTCTGTTTGCTTTGGCACATAGCAAGCCTAGTTGAATAGGACCAATAAATTAAAAGTATCTCACTCACAATGTATTTATACTATAATCTGTCTCAGTATTATCAAATCCATAGCTCTGCCACCCAGAGAACAAACGTGAAGCTCTGTATGTATTTTCAGTACACAAACAATGGCAGCTTTTAGTTAACACTGCTGTTTAACACCTGGAGAAACAACAGCCAACACACACACACAAAACAGCACACCATCACTACCAGCAGCACCTAACGATTCAAAACAAACAAACAAAAAAAGTACAGGTTTTATTTAATACTCTCAATGTCTGCATTTTGCAATCGAGGTACCAGAATGCAAGGTTAGAGAGGTGTAAGGGATGTAGGACAGGAAACCCCAGAGCGGTGCTTGAGTTCCAATACAAAACTTCTGTAACACAAATGATGATGTATGACATGTCAGAAAAGAAGCAGCCTTACCTACTGACATTTTTGTTAAACAAGATTGAATTGGTAAGCAATTCGCAATGCAAGAAGAACTAGGATAACCAGAGGCCAACTGGTTCACTATAATTTGTGCTTTCATGCTATCAACTTGACAGAAACACTTCTGAATCTGTCTCATCATTATAAAAACAATGTGGCAGTGCAAGTACTTCCATAATCTCTTATCAAATAGTTCAGAAATGAATACACTAAACCGTACTGCTTTACAAAACAAAGACACAGTTTCTAAGCTCTAACTCACACTCACAAGACAGATGTTGCCAAGATGTTGCCAACAACTCGCTAAATTAATTGCGTGAAAAAGCGCAATCAGGGTAAAACACAACTTTCTGAAATAAACTACGTTGAAGAAGTGTTTGATAGTACATATGCCCAATGTGCATGTAATTTCTCAAGGATTCAAACGCGTATGAGCATCCTCTTTTTATATATAATGGCATCAAGTTTCACTGCAGGCCGCAGCAGTGAGGGCACGCCTTTAGGCTGCTGTGTTCATTTAGCTATGAGTCATTCCGTGTGGAAACAACATAACAGAAACATCCACAAACTAATGAATTGTGAAAGAACCATAACATCTTCCCCCTCAAGCTTTCACCTACTAGTGGAAGTGGAGTGTCACAAATGAAGTTATTATCACTAAAATGATTTAGGAACGGAAAAATTAAGCACTGAACACCAATCAGCTCTTTTAAGAATCAATCATTTGTAACTGATTTAAGCAATATCACTCAGTACAGTCACCTTAGAAAACATCAGCAGAATGAGACAGGTAACATCCCAACCTTCTTTTTGCAACTATCGCAACTACAGATAAGATACTCAGACACGGAAACTGCAAAGGAGGTTTTTCTTGATTGATTTCATCCTTCAGAATCTGAGGGGTTTTAAAATGGAGAAGGGTGTACTCCTCTTATTTTTTTTTTTTTTTTAATTTTCCCCTCTAGAATCTGGTTTAAATACAAACAGCCCGAAAAATAACCAAACGCTTGCCATGAAATAAACTTCTATTGAGTGGAGGATCAGCCTGGCAAAACAAACTGGTGAGCAGCTTAACTTCTGCATCCCAAATTACTGCAATAGCCCATCGAATCACAACAGTTTAAGAAACTACCTGTAAATAGATCTAAGCAAATAACTAAACTTATATTCATCCACCTAGCACACACATTTGTTCAGCGCAGGAAGTAAGGAACCTAGTTTGCCCCTTACATTAAAGCTGTTGGTATGTGTTTTGTATTTTGGCACTGGAATGAGTGCATAGCACTTGGCAGGCTGGGTTGTCTCTTCTACCCACCTAGAAAGTAAAAATGAGAAGCTGAGTGCTGTAGGAAAGGATATTGCATGGACAGATATTGCTGTTAGTCACTCTTACACAAAATTAATTTCAAATGAGAATATAGCTCACATTAAGATATTTTCTGAAGAGATTAAAGTGGTTTTAACATACACACTTCTGTAAGACTTCTGGAGAATCATCTCTCTGCCCATACACCTCCCAGGAACCCAGCTACCAGGTATTCTCCACACTTCTTCACTATACCTAAGTGGATATACTCTGTTTTAAAGAATGCTGCCCTTGGTACCATTTATGTTATGCAGTGTAAATGAGCAGAGTACAACCAGATTCCATCAACCAAGCAGGTGCCCCTACCCTACCAACGCATACTTGCAGTTTTGCACCTCTCCTCAGGTGCCCATATGAAGTGTCCCTGTTATTACAACGCACTTGAGCTGGAGACTAATGGCTGCAGGAGACACACAGCAAACCAAATGCTGTTACCATTCTCATACATTAACACTGTCCATTCAATTAATAGCTAATCTTTTTATGAACCAGCTCAGGAACCATCGTAGTTTTCAGAATGGAATGTTAAAATTAAGAGTTCCTGAGGTCCGTAAAACTGCAATTTCACTGACAAGCAGCACGGTGCTAAACGTTACCTCAGCTCTGGAACTAGTTTATCTGAAATAAGTTTGGTTTCTGTATGGCACAATGTATACATACCCATGACCTCAAAATGTCTTTAAGAGCCATCTTAAGAACTGCTAGCTGTTATCAGAACAGTTCCACTACAACAACCACCACCAGTGGGATTCAAAGAGCAGGAAGAAAAATAGGCGCAGATTCTTTGTGACTTCCAAGAATCAGTATATATGCAACTAAGAGCATAACTGGTTTCAGTGGAAATAAGAATTTTTGCTTGAGGAATTATTGGCCTGAGCTATTTTAAAAACTAAAGTAAAAGGAAACACTTTTATGATACTGGACTCTGGTTACAGTACAATTTCCATTGGTGTTTCCCTACTTAAGCTTTTTAACTGAGTACATTATTTAAATTCTATGAAGCTTCCAGCAAAGTAGTATTAGTACAGTAATTTAACACGCTACTGTTATACTTTTCTTTAATCTACACAAGGATTGAAAGCCTCCAGCTATGATTAATGTGTGATAAATAAATAAATAAATGTTGCATATCTTCCACAAAACTGGGTTGTTTCTTCCACTGCCTGTTAGAGCAGTTGCACACACCGTGGTAAAACACACCACTGGAGGTCAATTATAACATTTAGTCTGTCTATAATAAAAAGTATTTGTGTTGTTTGTTTAGTGACAGTTCAAAAATATCCAGTTGTAAATACTCAGAGAAATAGGCTCAGAAGCAGAGAACCATAAATAGTCACTAATTAATACTTTAAAAAACCCTCGGTCATCTGAAAACTTACTGTTTCACATGCAAGAAGTCGCTGCTCAGTAAAATTGTGTACGTTTTTAAAGTGCTGCACAACATAGAGCAACCCTCCAACTTATCACATGGTAGAAGAAACATTTCCATTAAGGGACTGGACAAATTTTCAGACAGATATAAACATTTTGCAGAAAAACATCATGTATTATTTCATAATTTGTATGCAGATTCTTACCAAAATGCCACTGTTTCTGAAGATGCCATATCCAGTTATCCTTAAGATGTCCATTCACATCCATCATTAGTGCTGTGTTTGCTTTGCACTGAAGCTTCAGAACAGATTTCACACAAGCAACCTAAGCCTATCAAGATGGTTTCTAGAAAGCAAATTTAAGAGCTGTGGAATAGGGAAAACAAACAAACAATATTGCCAACAACTGCATGTACAGCGTGAACACAGTCAACATAATATCCATTCTGAAACGTTCATCATACATACTATGTTGGACTGTAATAAAATAAAGTTACAGAATTTTTTTTCTGAACAGAAGGATGTATAGATGTTTCAACATCTGCTCTTTTAAATCTCTGGTTCACCTACAGAAAATCTGTAGGAACAAAGCTTCCCTTATCCCATTAAATCTCATACACATCATCTCATCTCGTTAAGGGTACTCATTTGCCTTCAAGTGATTCCTTACAAAAAGCAGGACCAAGGAACACTCATCATACTTGAAAGACTTATGAAAACTGAAGTTCTGATTTGTCAGAGAGTGGATGAACACAGGACAGTTAAAAGTCCTCCATTAAAACAAACAAAAAAGAAAAAAAAAAAAAAAAAAAGTCAGCCAAACAAAAAACTTTTAAAAGCACCAAGGAGAGCAGATTGGGGGAAAAAAAGCATACAGTGTAAACTGGATTGAAGCAGAAGAGGCAGAAAGAGTGAAACAGTCAGTGAGCATCGGACAGAGAACAGCTAGTTAAACCTGGTGAATGTTCTCTGAATGGTCAAAGGTCCCTCAGGCTTTCTGCTCTTTCTGTCCCTGTCTCTGACTCACGTCCATTCTTCAGTACTTGCAGTCTCAGAGCAGAAAGGCTTCACACATTCTCAGTCTTCCCCACATTATGAAATTCCCCTCCTTTTAATATGGGAATCAGGATTACTCCCTCGTCTGTAGCTTTAAATCAGGAATTATCTGGATCTGTTATCCATTATCTTTACAGAAGATGTGCATGCAGATCATCCTTAATTGCAAGTGATCCAAGTTCAGATATTCTGACTTCAATTATCTTAATTGTTTTTGGGGTAACACATATTGGACAAGCTTCGTTTTGCACATCAGAAAAGGAAGACAAGACACTGATCTATAAAACAGCAGTGAAAGTTTGGTCAGGATACGTCAAACATTTTGTTCCATACTAAACAAGAGTGAAACTAGGATTCGGAGGGGCAGATGATCTGTAGGCTCTGGTACACACAGCCAGATGGAAAATTCTAACCATTCCCATTAAACTGTACTTGTTCCAGTATAAACTGAGCAGACTGGTAGGGTTGTTTCAGAGATGAAGACGCATTGTTATTATCAAACCACTCATCATCTATGCTTTCTAGAATATAAGCACATGTGTTTAACACGCAAGTTTGCCACAAAGACAAACTGAACATACAAAACTAAAGGATGCAACCTTTTATGGAGCCCTGTGGATAAGAGCAAAGGAACTAGAATGAAGTCATTTTCTTCTGGTATAAGGTCTCACCCGTGTAGTTCATAGAGGCGTAGCAACTGCAATATAATTAAAAACATTTTCTGAAATTGGGCCAGCCCTCCTAGGTTGTTCCCTTCTATTTGGAAATAAGCAACCAATATATAGTTTTATACTGATACAGCTCTATTCACACTAGGAGGCAAGAAGATGCTGTTTTAATTATGCCAATGTAGATAAAGTAGCAAAATATCTGATAGAGAACTTAGTATCTTGAATATTGCAAGATAGCTGCAATATTCCCAGTGCAGGCAAAGCTTTAGAGTACTAATTCTTTACACAAAAAATAATCCCTGCTGTGTAATTCCCAGAACATTATCAACCTTTGAAATGTTAATGGAATTACTAGAAACAAACCATACTTTGAATTTCTGCCAGATTCTGTCAAGTTCAGCTGACAAGAGTGTTCTGCGTGCCACTAAGGTGCCACTATTCTTTTCATAATACTTTACCACATTTAACTAACTTTTTTTGGAAATAAAAATGCTGCAATATTGTTGAATTTTGGAACAAACACTGGATCCTGACTAAGCATGCACTCTTCTTTGAAAAATACATAAAGCAATCACTCCTCTTCAGCCAGACCACAGCACTGGAAATGACCACTGTTATATCTGCCTGTCAATGACAGCAGCAGGTAGTAGTTATTCAACAAAATCCCTTTAGTTCTGTCACACAATATTATTTCCATCATTATCTAGTTTATTTGGTTATTTTAAACATCTGCAAATACAGGCTATGCTATGAAAAAAACCCAACACACCCACAAACAACCCTTTTGCTTCTAAAGGGACAAAGTTTAGTTACTTCCACAAATATTCCTTAAAAGGAGCAAATACCATGGTCTTCCTTACTTACTAGTTTTACATGCAGGTTACCTTCAGGTCTCTAAGGATTGGATCTCCCAGCTGACTGAGTTAAAAGACTAGAATTACCTGATAAAACAATACATTTTCTTGCTTACTTATGATTTATCATGATTTATATATTATTATATTCTTGCTTATTTATGATTATTTATGATTTGTATTACAATAGCTTTCAAAACAGACTCAAGATAAATGCAGATATACAGGATAGAAATTTCGTGATTTATTCAAGCTTAAGTCACAATGTCCAAGTAAAAAAATTTACCTAATGTTTCCATAAACTATGAAAACTGAAGCTAACTAAACTGAACTAAAGCATGAAGGCATGTTTTTGTCTCCCTATCTCCCTCTTACCCGCAGAGAAACCTCCAACACCCAGAAATCTTTTGACAAAGAGAAATATCTACAGAATAATCTCTGCTTACCAAAGCTGAGCTGTGTGTGCTTAGTTCAGAATGAGAAGTGTACCAAGCATACCCCAACTAGCACATGGAAAGTAGCTGATAGGTATATCAGATACAAAAAAATAATCATCAACTGTTGAATTTTAATCATGCAAACTTGTTCTAATCTTACAAATGAAACTGGTGCAAACAGAAGTTCTTAAAACATTTTGTTTGCTAGTTGATCAGCCTCAGCAAGAGCAAAGAAGTTGAAAATAAAATTAAACTTCTTGCAATTGTAGCAACTTATCCCAAACACAAGAGAAGTACATTACTCCTCCAGAAAATCTTGTTAAACAAACAAGACTTGTTTATACAATTAGCTCAATACAAAAAGTTAAGAGAGCACTTTAAAGACCTACCAGTAGTCTACTGTACACAGGGATGAACTGCAATTTTCCAATGCAATGAAGTTTTGGATCAGAGTAACTGCATTAAAACATTTACTTACACAAAGCATCTTGAAGAGTGTAATAGTTACTACTTCTAAATCACTTGCATTTGGACATCTGAACATTTCTTTAAACTATGGGTAAAAATTTCCAGTAGACTTCTGGAAAAAAAAATGAGGAATATATAGCTTTGGCTTCTACAGGAAGAAAATATTTTTTTCTCCAAAATCCCTCAGCCAAGTTTCTCTTTCCAATAGTCAGTTTCTTTTTCTTTATTATTTAGGCGAGATTAATCTTCAACATCTACTATATTTAATATTACAGATAGATATTCTGATAAATAAAATATGACTAGGAAATTCAGTTCACATTGCTGGCCCCACATTATGCCTCTGTGGCTGTAAGATACTACTATTAATTGACCTTTGTTGGTAAACAAGGTTGTTAGGTAATAATATACACGACCAACACCTCTAGAATTAAATGGCCCAATAAGAAGTTACTCCACAGCAAATTGCCACAAAAGTCAGTTTCTCTAAAACCAGGATGAAAGAGAAAGCAGTAGCAGAAACAGGTCAGACTCTGGAGTGAACAACCTCACTTGGTGTTTCGGAACAAACAGAATGTGTCAAGGCAGACACACGGCTTGAAGAACTGTGAATATCTTCACCGACAAACCAGACAGTAAATAAATTCCAGCATCAGTCTTGAAAATAACTGGTAGAACGTAGCAAAAAGATGTTTCCAATCACGGCCATTAACAAACCAAAGCACGGGGCACTTCATCCATCTAAAAAATGAAATACTTTGTCCATGAATTTAAGCCTGTCTACATCTGAAGCAAAAGGCCTTTCAAGGCATTTGGATTCTTAGTGCCAGGTCTCTGCTGTACTTAAAGTGCTGTACAAAATAAAATTCGTATCTCTGACTATCCCTTCTGAAAGGGCTGATCAAAGTCCTCATTTGATCCAAGTACTGTGTTTGCATCTTGGAAGATGGCATTCCATAACTTGGTCTGTAACCCAAGAAAACATATCCTCTTCCTGACCTACAGTTTCACTAGTTCTTTCCCTCTGCTGTGCTTCAACCTCTACTATTTTTGCAAGAAGCACGGCACTTCAGACTAACTCCATAGAGCCTTAAGATATTGTTAAACGAAGCAATCAGGAAGCTGTACTGCCTAACACATACAATTTCCCATTCCATAGCAAGATAACAAAGTTCATTTTTCAAGACAAGTCTTCATAACCTCTTCTTGGCAAGTGCACCAGAAATGAGATACGTCCTCTTTTGAAGACCCTGAAACTCCCATAGTCAGACTTCAGATAAGGAAAAACAGTCTCCTCTGAAAACTTAACCACCCAGTTCAATATGACAACATTAACAAGAGGGGAATAACAATATCCAAGAGGGGGGTATTTAAGCTGGATGCTGATGATCAGGACATCTTTCTGCTCTTAAAACAATGTCATAATGCTGGGAACACAAATATTCAGTGTGTTGTGTGGTATCTAGTACTGCTGTCACTGAGTAACTCACCTCAGGGCTTAAAAATCAAATCTCACAGGCAGCAACTTCTCTATCATTAGCACACTAAGTTGGAAGCATAGTATCAGAGCCAGATAGATGACCCGTGTGCATAGCTCTTTCTGTGCCCAACACACTGATGTGTAAGTACTACGGAATACCTTTGTCCCATTTCTCTTTGGAAAACAATTAGCTTCCTCTCCCCTTTCTCAGAGAAACTCTCTTACCTTGGTCTTGAGGCTTGCCATACAGGAGCTTCACTTGAGTTAAATATTTTTAAAAGATAACATACACGTTTATTTGGTCCGTTATGAACTTTTTCATAAAAACATTCTCCTTTTTCGTTCTTCATTTCAAAATCCTTATCTTTAAAAGCATCCTTCTGTTTCTGAAGAAAGCAAGGAAGTCTGTAACTGTAAATCTTGAATAAACAAATCCCCAAAACATTCACGATTCAAATGATCTAATGACTCATAAAGCCACGTTTTAAAAAAAATGTTTTCTCCAGAAAGAACATTTCTAGCTTTTTTTTCTTACCAATTACAAAATCATTTTCAATTTCTCCTCTGCCCAGCCCCTCCTCATGTCAACCAAAACAGAAAGTGACAGAAGACCCCAGATGATAAGGCAGAACTGATTACAGGAGATGACTGTAACAGTTCACATTCCCATGGCACGCTCAGTTTCTTTCCAAGTTCCCTGCCTCCACTAATGCAGGAGCAGCACCTGCTTCACTACTGAACTTCACAAGAGTGGAAATAAAAGTAAAGTAGCACCAATTCCAGGTGACTTTACAGCTCTGGTTACAAACTACATTGGGCTGTTGGAACTCAAACAACTGAGCTACCTGCAGAAAGTGCATACCGGTAGGAGCAGGAAACAAATCAAGTTAATTCTATGATCTGAACAGAGCCCTTAACACTTATTCCAATAGAGAAGCTGTTATTTCTAAATTATGCATGCGTTACCAAGACATCTCTGTCTTTGCAAAATGGAAATTGCAGTAGCAGAACTAGACTCTTGGCTATATGTTGGAAAACAAGATAAAATCACTGTGAGTGGAACTACAGATTCACGTCCTATGGTAGTAAAGAAGATCTCTTTAGAAACAGTACTTCTGAATCATGAGATAATTGCATAATGCTCCAACTAGAACTATTGGACCTCTCACAGGCATAGGCAAATCTATTTTAAATGTAAGAGGAAAATCTTTACAGTTTAAGTTGCACCCTTTGCTTCCTAATGATCATAATTTAGAAAAGAAAAAACCTTTCAGATCCTCCTCCAATGAAGTTATTTACCTGAGCTGTAGCCTGGGAGTCCACAGTAGTCAGTCTGTTGTGAGATTCTCATCCCACTGAATGTCAAAGCCCCAGTATTTCAAGGACGGGATTTCAAAATTAGTGATGACTTAACTTTGTCGCACTCAAGATAAACCATCTTTTATTCCCACTCAGGTCAGCTCACTGATTTCAGCAAAAACACATTTAGAAAGCAGAGCTGAATACTTTCAGAAATTCCACCCATGGAAAAAAGGAAAAAAAAAAAAAACACCAACAGGCAGGAAGTGATACAAATCATTTAAGACTTCACGATGCATTAAAAAAATCAAGTATTTTTGTATATTTGCATTCATTACAAGTCATTGAAATTACTTTTAACTGCTTCCTGAAATAACAATCTCAAGTGCCTTACCTTCTTACTCTTTAGATGCAGCATTCTGTTTATTCTTTGAAGAAAAAACGGCTCCGTCCAAGCATGGCAGGCTGTGCTAAGAATAATAGTTCCATTCAATGATTCAGGGAAAAACATACTTACTGATCTCAATATCTGCATTTCACATATCATAAGCATTATTACAGAATAACACTGAACTTGGTTTAGGCTTCAACTTTGTCCCACCTTGTTTTCTGTAGTACTGTGTTCAACAACAGTTTAGCTTTGTGCACGGTTAGTATCTATTCTCACCTATTCAAAAACCTAATAAGCTTAAGAATATTGTCCTTTGCATAAATAAAAACTAAAAGACAGATGCATCATTTCCCCAGTTTTTATAATTCTGTGGCATTTATATATAAAAAAGTATTTTGAAAATGATGCGTAGCTCATTTCATTCATATTACAGAGCAAAATCACAAATTTTATGAATAGCCTCCAAAATTATTTTTTCTTTTTGTGATGATTCCATTGAAATGCATTTCAACTTTTTAGAACTTTACTGAAACAACCTAGCTGTCACTGGTGCTGACCATATCTAGAGTACCTTACTAAGAGTTCAAATGCATTTCTTAACTAGATTCTGGTGTTTAATGATCTATTCCAGTTATTTAAGACAGTATCTTCGCATTGTAAGTTTCAGGAGACTAAAGCAAAGGCTTACATCAAAAGCATTGCCCTTTTTTATGGCACTGAAGTTCTGAGGAAGAAGCGCTGTCCAAGGATGACACCAATAATTACAGTTAAATATGTCCATAAAAACAAGCAGAACAGAAGTCTCTGTTTCTGGACCCAAAGTATCTGATCGTACTAAATTATATATAGATAGATTATATATATATATATATTAATATATATAGATAGAATATATATATATATATATATATAATATTATATTATATTATATAAATATAATATATAAAAATAAATATAAAAATATATAAATATAATAATATATAGATAGATAGATTAGTTCTTCTCATTCTGTGGACTTTTAGCAAGACAAATGGTATTTTAGTGCTCTCAGACAATGGGTGTGTGTGTGTATATATATATATATAAAAATATATATATATGTATGGAAACGTCCCTATGCAAGAGATCCAGTAATTTAACATCAAAGCAGACAAGTGTCATGAAAATGGTCTGCATTTGCATGCACCACAGAAAAGCCTGACAAACTGTACTACTCCTTACTGATAAGCATGGTTTGGTTTTCTTTGGAAATTCTCTCTTGTCTGACTAATGGTTGGAAGACCAAGCCTATAGCCAGCTAAACCTCTGCAGCTTGCAGTAAGAACACAAGAAAATAAACTCAAGTATGCACTTAAGTATTTATTTATGATTATTTTATTATTCTACTGCCAGCACTTTTTTTCTGGAGCCACACTGCCAACATTCCTCATGCAGAGTACGGCTGTAAAGCAGCTTCTACTGTGAAGTTGTTATTATGTTATTAAAATAATTGGATATCTAAAAAAACAAACAAACAAACAGAAAACACCCACAATATAAAATTAAATCCTGAGCCAATGTTACCACGTCAAAATTTAAGGATCCATCTTAACTAATTATTAACACTTACAGCCATAACCACAGCCATCCATGGCACTGCAAAATAATTAATCCCAAATATAAAGAAGCCCAACTCTGAATAAGAACTCACAGCAAAAGGGAACTGTGTCATTATGATCACCATATCTCCATCCTCACAAACTACTGCAGAGATCAGGAATTATCCCAGAATAATTTTCAAGACAAAAACTCCCTCTACGCATCTTGTAGGCACGCATGCTACAGCACATGCCTTTTCATTTCAGAATACCTCACGTGCCAAATGACCAACATGAAGCCTGACAGGCTCTGACATGGCAATGCATGTATGCTAATTCAAATGAAATGGCAGCATACCTACATTTTAAAATAGCAAAGAGAAAACACTTACCTGAACTTGGCAAGGCACCTCTTAGCTGCATCAACACTATTGCACAAATGAGGACTCTTCCTTGCAAATACATTAGCTCTCTTCAGATCATTATTCTGTGGCGCAGGCTCCTCCAAATGGCAGAATGAATGTATTGCCATTATTGAGCATTTAGAGATAACCCGAAGAAAATAAAACCAAAAGCGAGAAATAAAGTATTATTATTTTCATTATGTAAGCTGCAAAGACTTTATCTGTCAAGAACTTGTTATTTATAAACAGCATTTAAAAACACCCAGAGGATACGAAACACACTGATCAGTAAAGTAAGCATCAACGGCTTCCGCAATGAAACCAGATGGGCAGTTCATTTCAGCAGAGATGACTAAGTAAGGAACTTTCATTAAAAGCTATTAAGGAGCATCACTAAAATAAGTTTTTAAGCTGCTTCTTTCACAGTGGACACTTCTTAAGGATATTTTCATCTGGGAGCTTAAATGTATTTTTGCAACATTTACTTGTAATTTAGAAATCTCTTTAAGTAGTTTGGTTATTCCTTCCGCTAAGAGTTTTTTTTGTAACTGCAAATACTGAATGACATCTACCAGTCTTTAGAAGACTGTCCTCCAGTTCCTCACAACTTTCTCCAATTTTACCAAACGTATATAGAATTTTACTTTGGATGCTTATTTAAAGACAAAAGGAAACACTTCTACTATAGGCTCTTGAGGCACAACTTGACAAACCCCTATTTTTGTTAGAAGTGCCGAACAAATGACCTTCCTGCTGCTTATCTGTTCAGACAGGTAAAGATAGATGAGATGAATGTTGTTTAATGTGCCTACCTAGGTTCTGTGTGACTCTTCATAACTTTTAAATCCACTACCCAATTTTAGTTTTGTGGAAGTGCAAGCAAAAAGCATTTCCAGTTTTGTATGTGTTCAGAGATGTCAGAATTCCAAGCACTGGACAGGTGAATAGAAAAGATAGAGCCACAAACTGCACAAACTGACTAGAGGCTGCAGCACGTACCCACATTATTAAAACATCAATACAGACATAATAGAAACAGCTTATAAACATCCCAGCACCAGCTGGTACCTCTAAGGCATATAGCTGTGTAGGAAACTAGGCTCTATTAGATCTGTGTGCTCACAGAACTGCTTGACTGTATTCAAGTATTTACATCAGTTAGCCTGGCATTAAAATAAGAATCCTTGGTCTGCAAATTCCAGATAAGTTCAGTTTAGAAGTGCAGCACATACACCAACTGACAGCTCTCAGTCTTCTGGCACAGCATCACCTCCTAAGCAGAGGCATTCTCAGCAGCTCAGCCTCTTCATTCTCTAGAACCACAGGAGGAACTGCATGTAGTCCTTGTGACTGAGGGGTCTTGAGAATTTGAGCATTCAATTTTTTGATTCTCTAATTCAATAATCAGATAATGTCCCATCCGCATTGTCTGAAAAGAACAGAATGTTCACAACATTCTCTGTGGCAAAGAGTAACGTAAAGAATTCACTCAGCTCCTTCATAGCACTTTTTATTTCTTTTAATTGCTTTCTATAGTTCCTAAAGACCAGGAGATCTATCTAGTCCTTACTACACCACTTACATCTTAGACCCTTTCTAAATAAAAACATAAAAGCAACCAAGTACTTCCCTGAAATACACTGCAGTAAGACAGGATAACAATCATGTGTCGATATTTAATATATTTGGAAGGGCCAAATATTGTACAAAAATATTTCCAGTCCCATGAATGAGAAAGTGACTTGGCTTTTTGCAGTGAGTCATTTTGAGACTTCCTCACTTATCACCAACTTTTCAGATAAAGGGTAGATGTGGCACTGAGGGACAAGGTTTGGTGGGGATGGTCAACAGTGATGGGTCAACAGCTGGATTGGATGATCTTAGTCATCTTTTCCAACCTCGATTCCATGATTAAAATAATTCATTTACAATACTACATGGTAACAGTGAAAGAAGTATCATAGGTATACACGTTCCTCCCAAACACAGCAAGGAAATCTGTATGAGTTCCCCATACATCTTAATGGGGAGGATCACACTACTGTCAGTCAAAACACAATTTCTTAAATAATGAAAAAGCATCCATCTTGAAACTCATTCAGCACATACTGTTTATTCAACTCAACCACCTGTGGCAACATCTATGTATACTCAGAATGTACACACGTTTTTGAATACAGGAATTCCTTCTCACACGCAGAGTCCTTGCTTTGGAAGTTTTTGGGACCTCAAACCTTTCTTTCTCAGACTGCTGACCTGCACTGATGGCTATGTATGACAGCCTCAGTGCCAAAAGTACCTGAAATAGCCAGAGTCAACTTGAGCCCATTGACACAGTTCAGCTGCAAATAAAAGCACTGCATTTGCTGGCACTGTACTTTGACTAGTTCCAGAACCACAACCAAAACAACTGTATGCTAAGAATATAGAACTATATACAAGGAATTCAATGAAATACACAAAAAGGCTTTTTTTTTTTTTTTTTAAACTGCTTTAAATCTTACAAATTTGACCCAAGTTTTATCTCCATACTACAATATGACAGAATAAGTAAAACTAATTGCAACATCTGGATAGGGCTTAGCTTGTTTAATTGTCGTTTTATAAATTAAATATCTATTTGCACAATACAAGTGTGATAATCATAACATTCTCATTGCAACTGACCTCAGAAGCAATCTAGTTGAACTTCCTGACCAAAGCAGCATTAATATATGAATACTCATTAATGACAGGTTGTACTCTTGACCTTACAGACCACTAATCACATGTAATCCTTAATGAAATGCATTCAATGGCCTTTGAGGGCATTACTTATCTGAAGGAGGATTTGTAAGACCAGCTATTTGCCACACTTTGTTTCTAGCTATGGTGTATCACAATACTTCCCAGCTAGGCCTGTGAACATCATCACACTTCAACAGTCAACATTTTGTAAGCAGATAGTGCTTTGAGAGCAATTGTGGAACTGGGCTTGCCATACACAAGTAGCTAGTGGTCTACAAGAACAGGATGGAGTGAAGCAGGGGTGATAAACTAGTAAGTGAGGCAGGAAGCACAGAGCTGAGTTCTGCCTTCAGGAACGTGTCACAGATGGAGGAACATAGGACAGAAAAATTGCCTCCACTGGCATCAACAATCCCCCTCCCATCCATACCCACGGCCAAACTCCAGTACAATAAGGTTGGGAACCTCTGCTTTAGTACCATGGTTTTGTTTCATTCCTCTATTTGTACTCTGACAAGGATCTCCATTTTGGATTTGTATTCCATTTTACACCTTTTTTCATGCAAGAAGGTGCAATTTAATATGGCATAACAGTGCTAGTAAAAAAAACCAAACAAACAAACCAAGAACAGCAACAAAACAAACAACATAGAGACAATTTAAATGTAAAATTTGAAATATGTTATAAAACACAATTACCCAACAACACAGTTACAAAAGAAATGTATATTAATTAATTAATATAGCCCCTCTGTTCTGAAACATGAAATACAGTAATAGTTTATTTAACTGCACAGTTATGCACAAACTCTGCCAAGCTAATTAAACAGGAAAAAAAAAAACCCTCATATTTTAAGATTTTCAGTATTTATATTAGCAGGTAGTAAATAACTTCAGATATTAATACAGCATAATTAAAATTAAGTTTAAATAATGGAAAGACAACTGAAGATCTTTCTTTGGTTCATTTATTAGGATTTCAGACTAATTTCTGTTGATTGCAGAGGCTACTGAAAGCCATAAACACGCTCTTTAAATGTTAACAACCACAAGAAAAAGAGCAGTGGGATGCACAAAAGAGAAAGACTGGCTGCAGACTGTAGCAGCTTTGATAACCTTATTCACATGCCTAATTGAAAGGCATTTTTGAGTGTTTTAAGAAATACACTGAAGATCTTTTAAATTGCTCTAAAATGGAACTTAAACTTGTCAAGGCATTACTCATATGCCTTCCCAAATCAGCTGTTAATAACATAACCACTGCTGCACGTAATGTTGCAACCATATGACTTGATCTACTAATTCTTAAAGTAGAAGACACTCCAGAAAACCTAGTTTACTCTTACATACCTGTAAATTAAAAAAAAATTAAATTCACACCTTGCCATAGAACTTTCCTGCCAGTGTAGCACTGCATTAACCACACAACTAGCAAAGGGAGATGCTTAAAAAAATGCAGGTAGGAAGCTACTGCAAAATAAAGCACCCGTAGCATCAAGTAAAACCTGGCAACCTGTGTGCAGCAGAACACAAATCAGACTGAGCACTGACCTGGCCTGGGAGTTCTGATGCAGGAAAGAAGCTCCAGCACTGACTGCACACACGAGGGGCCCCAGTCACTTATCAGCAAGAGATAGGCATCAAGCAAGCTAAAGCTGAAAATGAGAGATAGGACACATCCACAAAGTGAGAGAATATCTTCAACACAAAATTCCTACCTTGGATAACTTCATTTCACATTTCTGTCAAAAATATTTGATTTTTTTCTGATTAATAAAGATCGATTCTACTAAATATCAGAAGTTCCCTTTTACTGCCAACTTATACTGCTAGTTTAGAAAATGAAAATTCACTAGAGAATACCTGTTTCAACAAAAACAACTGCATTTGCACATTGGTGATAATCCTGTGTATTATTAGACAGGAAGCTCTCAGCCTGAATGCCACCAATGAATGTCCTGGCACCTTGAGGGGAGATGGAACAAATGAGGAGGAGATGCTTTTGTGATATCACATGAAGACCCATCTGTGCAAACATCGTTAGATGCTGCTGCCACATAAAAAGCACATTAGGAAATGGTTGCTTCTGAGTTTTGGCCAAAGTGCAAAACCACTTTCTCAACAACTTTGACTAGAAAACAAAACAATAGATTTGAAAGTTGGTTATGCCGTATTTCACACAGAGGACAACATCAGTATAAAGATGACACGACATCAGCACACCTCAAGGACCTCCTCATTAGCACACCATGGGTTATATGAAATTCAGCAGGTTGTCTGGTTAGTACCATTTTTGCTAACAGGAAGAAGCACTGTCAAGCTGAAAAGGAAAATTATAGCTACTTCCTTCTATTCTAAAGGCAAAGGTAGAAATTATGCTTTACGTATACCAGTTACTGAACATTATCAAAGCTTTGGAACGTATCATGCCTAATTTTCAAGCGTAAAGAAAAGTTGAAAGATTTAGAAGGAAGAGGATCAAGTTGAGAGAATTGTGGTCAACAGCTCAGTGCCTGGATGGGGATCAGCAATAAGAGGTGCTCCCCAGGGATCACTGCTGGGACTGATATTCTTTAGTATCTTCATAGACATTGAAGGGATCAAGCACACCCTCAGAAAGCTTGTGGACGACACTAAGCTGTGGTGATGGGTCAACACACTCAAGGGACAGGATGCCATCCAGAGAGACCTAGACAGGTTGAGCAGTGGGCCCAGGTGAACCTCACATGGTTCAACAAAGCCAAGTGCAAGGTCTTCCATCTGGGTCCTGGCAAAGCCTGCTACCAGTACAGGCTGGGGGACGGAAGAACAGAGCAAAACCAAAAAAAGATCCAAAAAAACCTGCCAAAAAGGATCCGGGGGAACTGGTGGATGGGAAGCTGGACATAGACAGCAATGTTCCCTCACATAAAAAGCCAACCTTATCCTGGGCTGCATCCAAAGCAGCATGGCCAGCAGGGTGAGGGAGTGATCCTGCCCCTCTGCTCTGTGCTGTGAAGCCTCACCTGGAGTACTGCATGCAGATGTGGAGTCCTCAGTACTGGAGAGACATGGAGCTGTTGGAGTCCATCCAGAGGAGGGCCACAAAAATGAGCCAAGAGATGGAACAGCTCGCCTATGAGGACAGGCTGAGAGAGATGGGGCAGTTCAGCCTGGAGAAGAGAAGGCTGTGGGGAGAACTGAGAGTGGCCTTTCAGTAAAGGGGGACTGTAAGAAAGATGGGGACAGACTCTTTAGCAGGGTCTATTGTGATAAGAGAAAGAGAAATGGTTTCAAGCTTAAAAAAAGATACATTTAGGTTAGACACAAAGAAAAATTCTTTTAGAGAGTACTGAGGCACTGGTACAACTGGAACAACTGTGGTAGATGCCCCATCCCTGGAGACTTCTAAGGCCAGGCTGGACCACGTCCAGGGCAACCTGATCTAACTGTGGTGTCCCTGTTCGCTGCAGGGGAGTTGGACTAGATGACCTTTAAGGGTCCTTTCCAGCACTAACGATTCTGTGACATGTAATTAGAACCAATTAGGCCAGCAAGTTGCAATGCATGACAATGAAACGGGTGATAAATACACACCAGCAAAAAAGTAGTAGTAAAATCTGGTTACAGCTAGAAGTTGAACTACTGATGTTTCAGGCACCAAGGGGGAAAAAAGTATTGAAAGTAACAGATTTTTTTTTTTTCCTTCTTTCTTCCTCATCTCTGTCCCACATATAAGCAGCAAAGGAGCCAAGAGCTACAAAAAAAAAAAACCAACAAAACAAACAAACAAACAAACAAACAACAACAACCAAAAACACAACCAGTTTGGGAATTTATCTATTTATTTGAGAAGGATGATGGCCTTCAGGTTTTGAGGGTGAAGAACCAACCACATGTACTACAGCAAAAACCACAACAATATTCAATTATGATGCAGCCTTTAAGCACCACCAGAAAATAAAACAGATACATAAGTACTCTCTCCAGCACTTCACAGGTATTTAGTTTGATTAACCCCACCTAAAGGAATTCAGATTCATCAACTGCTTCTAAATATGCATTAACACTAAGCCTAATGCTTGATTTTTAAACTTAAACCTCAGGAAAACCTACAATCCTAAAACGAGGGGACAATTCAAACTCAGGAAAGGTTTTGCTTACAGCCAGATGTGAGCTCACATACAATTAGCCCCAGCAAGTTTAAAATACAACTTCCAAGACTAGTGCAATTCTGTGAGAAATTGGGAAAGCATACAGTTGTTGGCAATTCAGGGAAGATTAGATGGGAAAACTATTTTTAATTTCTTGAGAATAAGCTTTCTGTACATCTGTAAAGCACTTGCTGGAAAGTTGATCCTCTGCTCATGCACAACGTCAGTAGCTGTAACACTACGGCATCTTTACACGGGATGATATTTGAAATTATTTGTAGAGAGCAAAAAAAAAAATAAAAAATTCAAGTTTAAATAAGAAGACCACAAGATAATGGTTGCCAAAATCCACCCAAATTTTAGCACAAGTGGCTAAAAGCACTCCTGGGAAAAGTCTTGAATGGACAAGTAATATTCATCATACTGCCACCATCTGAACCAAGTTCAGCTGGCAAGAAACTTTCCAAGAGTCACAACAACCTGACTTGACAATACATCTGATTATTGCATATTTTCAAGAAATTAAAACACGAGATTCCCAAAGTCACTCCCAGTGTAACTTTGAAAACAGAATGAAAGAATTGGGTACTTATTAAAAGAGTGGTATGTTACATGCAACCCTGTGTGCTTGCACAGGAGTTGATTTCCCTTTTACCAATACAGAGAAAAGAGAAGCAGTAGAAACCAGCATCATCCCCATTCACCTTCAGTAAAACACTGCCTTCAGACTTATTGCTGAAAAGCACCGCTTTCAAAACTCATGAATCACCTTCCTACTACAATATCTTGGAACTCTGCCACAAGTCAATCATTTAGAAATACAATCACAACTAAGAGAAAAGAAACTACACCTCAGAAATCTCACTGTCGCGCAGAAGAATGGAAAAATCAGTACAAAAGCTGAACTCAGGAGAAAGGGAGACCCAAATAAAACCTGCCTTTAGGAGAAACATCAGTTTCTCACACAGAAAAACAGTACGAGACTAGAAACCAGCACATCTTGTTTGGACGTTAAATATATATATATATTTTTAATTATTATTTTGAACATAATTCAACCAATACAACCCCAAACTTCCACACCATTTTTGAAGTCTTCACTGTTATAAACAACTTAACCAAGATCTTTGTGTTTACCAAAACACAACTTCATTTGGATTGCTGTTATACTACCTCGCACTGGGTTCAAGTCCATTCCTTACATCAGCGTTAAAATATTCATTCTACATAATGCTGACCTGCAGTAAGAGTAGCAATACAACCCCATTGTGTACTGCATTCAATTTGGGCCCTTTGCTGCAAGAAAGACATCGAGGCCCTGGAGTGTGTCCAGAGATGGGCAGTGGAGCTGTGAGGGAACCGGAGCGCATGTCTGATGGGAAGAAGCTGGGAGAACTGGGATTGTTCAGTAAGGAGAAGAGGATGCCCAAGGGAAACCTTACTGCTCTCTGAAAATTTCCTGATTTGGTCTCTTCTCTCACATACAAGATGGAACAGCCTCAAGAGCACCACGAAAGATTTAGGCTGGATTTTAGGAAATGCTATTTCTCTGAAAGAGTGGTCAGGCACTGGAATGGGCTGCTCAGGGAAGTGGTGGAGTCACCGACCCTGGAGGTATTCAGGAAATGTTCAGACGTTTGTTCAGGGACATGATTTAGTGAGAACTATTGGTGATGTGTGGATGGTTGGACTGGATGATCTCGTAGGTCTTTTCCAATCTTGGTGATTTTGTGATTCTGTGATGCTGGCATATAGCCAAACTAGGGGGAGCATCCTATGGACAGCAATCACAACTGGAAAACATCCCTGGTTTCATGATATTGAAGCCACATTGCATCAGGGATATACTCCTGAAAGCAATCCCAAAGCTACCAAGTTTTGATTATTGGTCCATATTGTGTTAAGAGTCCGAAACCTACAAGCCATAGGACAGGGAGATAAAGTAATTCAAAGAGCACAGTGAAAACTAAGAAAATGTGCTTAAGGTGTTTGATTCAAGATAGTTTCTCTCTCCGCTACAGTGCAAAGATGCTCCTGTTAAGAATGACAAAGTAAGAGCTGGGGTGGGGAAAAATTAATTAAAAAAAAACAAAAACAAAACACTTTTAACTGTGAGCAGCAAATAAATTTCTCCTCTTTGTCAAGGTTACACAGGTTACACACTGTAGTAGGGAAACAACATAGAATTTATTTTCAAAAGGTCAGAGGGAAAAAAAAAAAAAAAGAGCCCTAAGAATATCTTACAAGAGGTTTCCACTGCAGAGAAAAGGATTTAAGCAGGTCAGCAGGTGACCAGATGAACCCAGCCTCATGTTTTGGCTACTGACTTCATAACAAACGTCTCCCTTTCTCCGGTTACAACACCAGAATGCAACAGCCAGGGCATGCCGTGTGTACATATCAACATCAGTAAAGCTGGCAGCAATGCAAGAATCTAACTTGTGGACTTGAAGTTAGTCATGAAATGCAAGAAGGTTTACAACTGCAGTAATCTTGACTTTTTATACACAACAACTCAAAATTCACTCTCAAAATTGCAATCGTCAGGACCGTAAACTCATCCTATATGTATATAACAATATTAATCATGTATTTAAGCACTAAACAGGGAAAAAAGAGGTATACATATAGCCAATTAGTTACTGTATCCGTCTTGCATTCTCAACAACTCATTTCATGTGTTTGAATTTTAATTTCATGTGGTTTTGGTAAAAGAAAAGAACAGTACGAGCAAACCCTGAAAAACAAAACCTTTCAAGCAGAAGTTTCCAGTTGGTATCTCCCACTCTGCATTCAGTTTGTCAGGAACCATCGGCCTTGCAGTGACAATCTGGTTAGAAGCACGCAGCCAACGGATATGTGATTTGCATGTGAAAATATTTTTAGAAGACACACATGAAGAGCACATGTTCTCAGCCTGCATACAGTCTGCTATCTATACACACAGAGCATTATTTCCCCAAAGTTCAGAGTTAATTTCCAGATAATTATTCCATTCACTCTTTTGAAGTCGCAACGCATATCAGACCCTAAGCAGCACTCTAAACTGTATTTGAAACTTCTACTCTTCCTATGTTAACTAGAGCCAGTTTAAGAAGGTGAAGATGGAAATGAATAAGATCAGAAATAAGCCACATGCCCAGTGTACATTGTCAGTTAATTAAAACTAAACCAAATTTAGACAGACTGACACAACATGGAAACAATATTTGAATAAACAGCAAGTCTGACTAGATCCCAGTCGTGACCAGTCCACATCTGGAACATCCAAACCAGTTCCTGGTGACTCTGGAGTTTGCATCACACAGTGACTGTTACTTCAACGCTGCTTTGTTCAGGCTGAACAAAAAAAAGTTCTATTGCATTGTGAATTGAAAGCCTCCATTTCTTTTCTCTGCCAACACACAAACTCTTCCCCACACACGTGGGAAATTCCCTCATTATACACAAAACTCAGCTCTGGACGCTTTCCTCGGCCCGAGCTTGCCTTGATTTGACTTGGATGTCTGGGAGGAACAGAAATGAACACCGGGAAATAACTCTGTGGCACCTCACAGCACATTCAAAACACCCGAGGTAGAAGTTAATTTATCAGGAATTAAGTTCACCGGGGGAACAAAACCAAACGGACACAACAACAACAAAGCGACCACCAAGCACAAACAACCACAGCTCCAAGGAAAAGGGAGGCATCGGCTGCCTTTAAAGCCTCAGCAGCATCAAGCCGTGAGTTCTCACTGCTCAGAGAACCAGAACCCACGCTGGAGCTTTTTCAAAGTCAGCCCAGACTAACAAGTGGGGAAAAAAAAAATCACCTGAATCCTTCTGAAGCACACACACAAGCCAAGAGCTTTCCGAGAAGATGTTGGGCAGCACACACGTAAAACTTAGGCTTGGTGGAAGCCGAAAACAAAACCGCCGCGCTCTCCCAGCACGGCCCGCCGCCCGAGAAGGGACAGCACGGAGCCGAGCCGCGCCCACCCGCCGCCGTTTCATCCTGAGGCTGCCCCGCGAAACACAACCGCAACAGCCACAGACCGACGAGCTCTGCGCTACCCAGGAGAATCGAAAGCGGGCCCGGAACGCCGCAGCGGCAGCGAACGCGGCAGAGCCGAGCGCCTCCCCAGAACCCCGCCACCGCTACCGCCGCCCCGAGCGCCCTTCCTTCCCCCAGCGCTCCGCACCCAGCCCCGCCCTCCGCCCGCGGCGAAGCGCTGCGAGCCGGCAGCGCCCCCCCCGCCGGCCCCGCCCACTGCGAGCGGGGAGGAAGGGAAGGGGGGAGGAGAGAATACCTCCGCCGCTCGCCCCGCCGCGGCAGCGCAGCCCTCGCCCGCCCGTTGGCTGCCGGGAACGGCATGGCGGCCGGAAGCGGCGCGCGGCCCGCGCGGACGGCAGCGCCGCTGGAGGCGGTCGGTGAGTAGCGGTGTGCGGCGGGGTTGCGGGCCGCGTTCCGCCTCCGTGCGCCGAGCTAGCGGCCAGACGGCGGCCTCGCGCGTTCCTAAATGCCGACTATTTCATGTCAGTAGCTGTGCTCTCAGGGTGCGCGTGTCTGTGTTTGGGTGACGCTGGCTGATCGCGGGGCTGGGTGGGACGCCTACGCAGCGAGACGGCAGTGCGTGCACGTGTGCGTGTGGGCGCGCGTCTAAGCGTGTTCCACCTGCACTGGCTCCCCACGTTGACTTGATAATTAACGGTATATATTCTTTCTCCCACAGCCCTCCCGTAGCGCGTGGATCGCTCTCGATGCGGATTGACACCCGGGCGGTCGGGCCAGGCCTCCCTGAGGCGGCCGAGCACATCCCCGGGTGCTGAGGAGAGGCTGTGCCCGCTCCCAGCCCCGCCCCGAGCTCCTGCCTCGGGCAGCCCCGAACATCTGTGTCCCCTTAGGCCGTATTTGCACCTAAATCGCCTCCATCTTCCCCTAGGAGGGCTCATGTAACATGCTCAGTCCCTCCTTGCACCCCGTGAAAGCATTCACTAGGAGAAATCTGGCTGCGGGAGAAACTTCTGGAGCAGCGCAGCCATCACAGTGCAGGCTGAGTTGTTTTGTGGTGTCATCAGATGTTTTGAAGGGAGTATGAACAGGTGGGGGAACGTCTGTTCATGAGGGTGGATGGTGATAGGACAAGGGGGAATGGTTTTAAACTGAGACAGGGGAGGTTTAGGTTAGATATTAGGAGGAAGTTTTTCACACAGAGGGTGGTGACGCACTGGAACAGGTTGCCCAAGGAGGCTGTGGATGCCCCATCCCTGGAGGCATTCAAGGTCAGGCTGGATGTGGCTCTGGGCAGCCTGGTCTGGTGGTTGGTGACCCTGCACATAGCAGGGGGTTGAAACTGGATGATCATTGTGGTCCTTTTCAACCTAGGCCATTCTATGATTGTATGGTCAGTTTTTATCTTCCTTCAGCCTGCATTAGGCTTTTCTGCAGGAAGGCGATGTCTGTGTCCCCACATGCAGCCTGTGTGATGCCAGTGTGTCCTGTTGGTGCTGTGCTTACTGCATTGTGCTTTGTTACAGTTTTTTCTAACTGTGTGATGTGTTTATAGTTGCCATCTCAGGTAAAGAAAGCTGACTTGTGTAACAAACACATCTAGCTAACACCACAGGCAATATGCGTGACTTTTTGCCTTGGACTTCAGTTTATTTCCCTTCTCTTTCTTCAGTACCTTTTTGATGCAGGAGAGAAGGTAGTGGCTTACAGGAGCATCATTTTCAGTATTCCTTTAATCTTTAAACACTAAAATTTCCTCTGTGATATAATCACTGTTCTGTCCCTACAGTTTGTAACTGATTTTTGGTTTTGTTGTACTGTTTCCCCAGGTATCGCTCCTTTCAAGATTCCTTTTGTTGTAGAAATCCATGACCTACCTTTTCCATGTTCTCCTCCTTCTGCCCTGTTACCTCCACAGATCTTCTTATAGACCAATCTGACACACTAGAACAGCAGGAAAAACTCCTGTTTGTTGCTGGATTTCCAGCTGTTTTGTGCTCATGGGAAGGCTGGTCATAGGGTGAGCTGACAGAGAACGTGATGGAGGGGAAAAGCTGAGAAAAGAGATGTAGAGATGTCCCTATAGACAATACTGAGCCATTAGATCAACTTAGCTGTCCAAGGAGCCATAACATTGCCTGATAATTGTACCACGGCCACAGCACAGCTTGCATAACATTTCTGAAGTACCCAGGATAAAACAAGTGGCGTAAAAGTTTCAAAACAACCCAGTAGGCTTGAAAACACGTTCATATCTTAACACAGATATTACCCATTGCTGCAGTGGGATTTTCAGTGTATGACACTGTGGTCTGTAAGTAGCTGTTTTCCGTGGCAGCTGCTGATCTGTGGCCCAGTTTGGTACAGCTGTACAAAGGCTGCTGGTAGCTTGCTGTAGTGTTACAAATGCTGATGTACACACAGGCTGCTTGGTGCTGGTCTGCACGTCTAGGACCAGCAGACCAATGTTCTCTTTTTTTTTTGCATGTGTCTGGAATAAAAGGTCAGTTAACAATTTTGTTAGTCTTTATTCTGTTCATCAATGCAATCAAAGGCATGGGTTGTGGTAACATAGTACTACTGCTGGGTTATTATACCTGGGAGCACACTGTGCATCTCAAAACAGTACCTCTCCTTTAAAAAAAAGAGAGCAGAAGTAACAGGGAACATAAAGAGAGAATAACCAGGGGGAAAAAAGAAACGCATTCTTTTTGAGAGGGATGGCAAAATAAGCTGTGACTTGCAAAGAAACAAATATTGTTTATAAAATCAAGGCGTGCTTAACAAAGAATTACCTTTAGGTTAGTGTTGCTCACCTTTTTGAGTGTATGAAGATGATTTGTACTTACATGGTGAGAAACTGCCTGGAGTTCCAGGCACGTGATCTACGTATTTCATTTAGTCTAGAGACCTGAGACTGCTTCAGGCAAAGCATTTGAATAAAAGTCTCTGAACAAGCTAGATACATTTTCTCATTAGTGACAGTATGGAATGCACAGTTAGTATTTATTTTAGTGTGTTTGACACAAGCACAACTTCATTTGTTGTATAAAGAAATCAAATTCCCATCTGGACTAAATATAGGGTAATAGAGAATTGGAGGACTGAGATAGTGCTATTGCTGCTGTGTGAGAACAGAATTGGAGTGCTTGGCTTTCATTTGTAATCCATTAAACCTGTGTACTTAAAGCCTAATCAGTTGATGTTTGCCTGCAGTGAGTCTGGGACCATGTGGTTTGTAGACCTTCAAGCCCTACGTGAAAACTAACCATGATCTCTAAAGTCACATGTGGCTTGATGCTTCTGTCCTCACCTTTTACTGTACCCTCTGATTTTATAAAGTAGGATGTGTCATCTCTGCATGCTGCTGAAAGCATTGCAAGTGTCAGTAGGACACACTGTCGTCTCATTTTGACCCCTTCAAGTGGTCGTAGGGGATTGATTTGAAAAGAGTTGTTATATTTTACAGGCTGCGCTTTGTTGTTGTTATTCATAGTGTTGACCTATAGCATCCTGTCCAGTTCTGTAGAATCTCTCCTTGCCCATTATTAGGAGTGATTTGGAATCAAACTAGTATTTACAGCTATCCAAGTCTGTCTTTTTTCAAAAGGAACTGTAATCTGAGTTAGTTCTGTAGTATGAAATGGAGTTGAAGGGGCATCGTGCTGTCAGAGAGAGTGTTGGTCAGTAGAAATAATGAAGAAGAAATTATGGCTCAAAGGAAGGTAGTAACCTCGATGACTTTGCTGTTCAACATCTCTGTCTTCCTCCTGAATCTTAAGGAGAGAAATATTGATTGTAGTTATTCTTCCATTTTAAGTCAGCAGGAGCAGCATTGGGTCCCTGTAGTTTTAAACCTGTTTCTCTGGCTGATTCAGGTTGTTAGCATCAGTGCCAGCGAGGGAATGGTCTTAAGCAGGCTTAAGGAGCAGCTTGCTGATGTGTGCTCTGTACTGAAGTCTTCCTCAACAAAAGCATGTGTTATGATAGGTGAGAAAGGCAAAAATTGGCCCTGAATTCAAGAAATCATACAAAATGGAATATGTGATGTCAGTTGTAAAATACGCAATAAATTTACGTAGCAGTGATACTGCAAAAGAGCTCGTATTTGCTAGTGAGTCTATAACATTGTTAAAGTAATGGGAGAAGTTTCCCAACAATGACAGTAACAGCAGGGTGCCCTTTGGAGTTGGAAGCAGTTACATTTGCAAGTTAAACTTCTCCTTCATTATGCACCAATTGTACTTCTCTGAAAACAGCTGAAGTGGTGTTTGGGCTTTTAATTATTTTTTTTAATTATTAATATTCCTCCACAGCTCTGTGCAAGATCTCATTGTAGCCACTTCGTAAAGGAAATCAATTCTGTCTGAGTTAGAATATAGTAAGTTGAGATGCTTGGACAAAGCATCTCCACCCAGTATAGCACACTTAACAAGTAAGTGAGATCTTGAGCATGTAGAGAGTGGATAAGTGAACAAATTTATGGCCTAAAGCTGTTAAATCTAGTATGTGGCTTAATTTAAAGTTTTGAGTTCATTATACGTGCTAGAAAACATGTATTTTGAGTCAAGAAAACATTCCTCTGATGTCATTACTGCAGTTAGTATGGGCTGCATTATTGTTGGTGTATTTTTCTCCCCCCCAAAAAAAAATTTAACTGAATTTTTCTTTAATTGTTGTATTCACTTCTTATTTTTCAGGAGTCTTTGAAAAATCCTTAGTGGTCATGACATTGTTACAAGTGAGATAAATTAGCCAGTGGCTCAGAGGGATGGATACCCAGAAGACTACAAATGGTTTGCGCGTGATTGGACAAGGGACTGGTATAGGGAAATCGACACTCCACATGGTGGGGTATTTGGGAAAAGTCAGTTGAAACTTATTTTACATCTGTGCAAAGTTCATATTTTTTCTCTGTTTTGAGAGATATTTAATTGGTCTTATTTTACCAAACAAGAACAAAAACAAAAACCCTCAACATTATTTTCCACGGAAATCTGTAACAATGGCGAAAGATTCTAAATAGATCTGTGTCTGAACTTTTTACTGGTGCTGTATTTATGACTGTGCATTTCTATGTATATTACTTCATATTTCAAAGATCTGAGCATGTGTACCTTGGCTCTAAGTCCCTTGCTTTAGTATAAGTAGAATGAAATGTTACCTAGTTGTATTGTCAAAGATACTAAAGATTTGAATGCTTAAATCAAAAGATAAATTTGTGTAGTTTGCTCTACACTATGACTGTATCTTATTTACAAGGACAAAACCTATCTGCTTTATTTTTTAATGTTGAGTTAGGTGTTACATGCTTAGAAGCTAGTCGTTGCTTTTCTATCTGCGTATATATGTCTTAACTTGGGACACTATATTAACAAATGTAAGTTTATGCATTTTTTTTTTCTTTTTTTTTAGAGCCATGCTCCTGTGGAAAAAACTTCACCTGACTATTGTCCAGTCTGCAAAGAGAAGGGCCAGGTTCAAGTTTTACGGACTTACCGCATCAATTTTCAAGAGTCCATTTATCTTTGTGAAAACCCTCAGGTATTACTCTAATTAACAGTCCTGTTTGCTAGTGTAGAGGCCTTTGCCAGTAACGGTTAAACATCTTAAATTCAAGATTTGACTGGTAGTGAGCAGACTGTTGAAATATGATGCCTTTGATGTTATATTCTGAATGGTGTTTGCTTGTAATATAGACAAAAACATAGCAAACCTCTGTGTATGTGGTGGTCGGCACAACTAGCTATTCTGAAGAGTAAAGGGAGCAGATTAAAAGGAGTAAGGTAGAGTTTGTTTCACATAACAAGGGGACACAAGTGATACTAAACAAATCGTTGTATGAACCAGAATATGAAGCCAAAATTGGCAAATGCATTTATCTGATGCTTTACTCATAAAGCTGTGAGTCTCCAATTTTCCCGTTCAAGTAATGCACACAGGTTTGTAATAGGAATTACGTATCTTTCAACACTTTTCCATTTTAAGTTTAGCTTTAGCTAGATTTCTGGGCTTCTTAATATCTGACTGGTGGTTTGCTGCCTCTCCCTTCTGCTGTGTGGGGAGGGAGGGTATAGCAAAGTCATGTGGAATGGTGCCCTTAAATGAGTAGAATACAAGGGCTAGATGTCTTCAAGCTGTGTCCCGCATCCGTCACCCCACTTTAAAATAATCAAGGTGTTGGTTTGGAAATGGGAAATAGTATGTTTGACTGTATATTACTAGTTGAGAATAGCATATTTTATGACCCTACCAATGCATGGTTTAATATATCAGGCTAAGCTGAAATATATCAGGCTAACTGGCCCTGCTAGTTTTAATACTAGTAATCTTCCCAGCAAATGTTAATAATCCCAAATATGTACCCTGCTGGAGTGGATTTTACAGAATGAGAGAACTCTCCTTAACAAAATTGAAGTGTCTTTCTGGGACTGGAAGTTACTACTCATAGATACACTTCACAATTATCTATAAGACAGTGGTTGGATAAAAATGCTCAATTTCTCTTGCATACGTTGAATGTACGTATTCATTTCAATGAAGTATCATTCTGTGCAAGTCCTACATTCCATTTGAGGATCTCATTAGTTGTTATTTTAACTCTTTGTTCACCTGAAATGACTTTCTAGATTTCATTGTAACTTTTCTTTTTTCCTGTAGTGTATCTACCCACTTGGTTACAAACCATTCAACAGCATAATTATTTCTGCTGATTCAGAAAATCTTCAAGTTCCATCTAATGATAAGAAAAGGAAATTGTATGATACCAGTGACCTTTCTCCTATTGAATCAAATCCAAAACTGACAAGAACTAATGATGTGGTAAATGTTGAGCAGACTATTAACACAGACCCTGTTGTCAAAAACTGTGGTGACAGCTTATGTATCCTTCAGTCGAGTGTATGTGACGTGTTAGAAAATGGCCAACAAAAATCCAGTAACGAGGAATCCATCAATCACAGGGTGGATTTTGAAACAACCTCCAACACCAATGGTCAGCAAGAAAGTCCGCCTAAGAATTTTAGCTCCAGAACACAACTCTTGCCAAACTCTACTCACTGCTCAGCAACAACTGAAGTTTTGCTCAGAGACAGTAACTGTTCCACAAGTAACACAGATCTATGTCTTCAGTGGAGAAACAAGTATAATCTTTGTTGGTTAGATTGTGTTTTGTCTGCACTGGTCCACTTAGAAGCATTAAAATTTGCTCTAGTAGAAGATGATGAAAAATGTTTACTCCAAAGGCTCTTGACAAAATACAATCAAGCAACTGTTCTGCTGAATACCTGTAAAAGGAGTAAAGTAAAAGGTGAGTTCATTCAGCTACTATTTTTTCATATTCAGACTGATCTGATTAAGGAATTTAGTGCAATGCACTTAAAAATGCCTCTTTTCTATTTCAAGATCACAAATGAATCAGGTACATCTCAGTACTATGAATTTGCAGGATTGTGTGCTTTAGCTCACAGACTCCCAGTAACCCCTGCAATTGTTTTCTTGGGATGAATGTGTGCACTTTGAAAGTAAACATCAAATACAAAGGATCTCTTGATATATATATATATATTTTTTTTTTGGTCATAACCAAAGTAGGAAACTTGTGAATTATGTGATTGAGCCGTACTTTGTTTCCTTCTTCTCTGTTGGTTAATTATTGCATTATTTTTCTAATCTTAATCTTCAGGATTGGTTTGCATGTGGTTTATGTCACTGTGTAATGAACAGTTGCCTTATCACACCAAAAATATTCAAGCTGGGAACATGTTCTTCTCTGGCTCCAGCTCTGTTCGTCGAAGAAATGCTTCCCCTGCGGTCTGCTAGCTGTGCTGAGGGTGAAACCTGTTTTAGTCAAAATTAGTCAAAAGGTTTTAACCTGGTTTATGCTGTCTGGAAAAACTTAGAAAGTACTCAGATACGCAGCTTAATTGATTTGAAAGTAGTAGCCTCTAAGCACAGGGACAGTGGAGAGCAGCTGGGGGCAAACTTTCAGGTAGCACAGTGGGAGTGAGAGGAGGATGTGATGCTGCAGTCTGATAGTTTGGCCTTTGATCACTTTCCATATGGTGGATTCAGTGTAAGGCTCTTAAACTAAGATTTATTTTTCCTAGTCCTTTGGAATGGACCCAGTGGAGTCATAAGCCTGAACTTCTAAGCAATCACCCTTCAGAGAATTACTGCAGACCTTTGGCTAGCCAGTACCCTTCATGAATTTCTTTTTCAATAGGTCTTCCAGGAAAAGTGTACGTTTCAGTATGACAGAATATAGTAATAGAACAGCACTAGATAATTTAAAGGATATCATATCTTTACTGGAAAGAATAGTGAGTGTATCAAAAAGGTTTTAATCCACCACGTGGCAGAGAGAACAGTACTTTACAGAGGCACACACACACAAAAAAATATCCAAAGAAATTCTCTAGAGGTTCGTATATTATTTGCCAGAAGGTCTGTTTGATTTTGGGGGTTTCAGATGTTACCTGGAAGCCCTCTACTATTGCAACAGCCAAGATGTTATTTTTCCTTTCTGTTGTGCTACTGCTGTGTTTGCAAAGAAACTCTGGTATGGAAGCATCCTAAAGTGGGTGTGCTGGTTTGCTTCCCTTAGAATGGCTGGTGGAATACGGTGATGTTTGAAACATTTCATTTCCAGGAACTACTGCAAAAGAAGTTGGCTCATTTTGGCAGGAACGGAAAGGGGATCGGATGAAGAGTGCTATTGTGGAAAACAGCTGTAGTATTTTTGTTCTTTTATTTACTTTTTCAGTATTTTTTTTTTTGCATATGACTATGTTTTGAAACAAAAGCAATTGAGATACAAGAAAATGTTTTTTACCTTTTAAACACGTAATTTTTTAAAGTAAGAAGTAGTTCCCACAGCTGTTCTAAATCCTTCCTTTAATTGGTGTGATTTGTGATCATGATTGTGTAGTAACAGATGTGTTCTTTCATATGCTTAATGTATGTGTATAGACATTGTAAGTTGCAAATACATAGTAAGATAAATATGTGATTTTACAAATAGGTTTTTAATGTTGAAAATACTGACTTAGGAATTTAGTATTTAGCATTTAAGTATTTTTATAATGAATTCTATGATGTCATTACAAACATGTAAGCAAATCTCTGTGCTTTGGTCTTCATGTTTAGGTTTTAAAATCTAGTCTTAATCTCTGAACCTCTGTGGTTTGTAATGTTCGACTCCATTAATCTTACGTGTTACTACTGTCTAGAACAGGATCATCGAATATCCCAAGTTGGAAAGAGCCCCAGTTATGGGTACACATTCTTGGTGAGAATTTAAGTCAGATGAAGTTATTTTGGGTTAGCATTCAAGTTCTATAAAGCAATCTGTAATTTTCAGATCAATTGATACTGAGCAGTGACTATTTTACCAGCAGTTCTAGACAAGTGTAGATCAGTGTGAAAGATATCTGTACATAATGAGCTCATGTTAGGGTTACATGTGTGTGAAAGGTGTTGCACATAAATACATGAAAGCATGTGTATTTTTTTTTCTACAGATGTTCTTCCTAAAGCAGAATTGCTTCTCAATGAAATAAGAAACCAAATTTTTATACAGCTTCAGCCACAGCTTAGGTGTGAATTAGGTAAGTAATTACCTAACAAGCAGCACCTCAGTACTTATTTTCAGGAAACTGTACATCTAAAGACTTTTAGCGTGTCAGTTCATAAAAATACATCTGTATGATGCATGCAAGGCACCCTGTAAGTCAAACGTTTGTTAGTTTGTGCCATACACACAGTGTGCTGTGTGATTAGCTGGTTTGTCCCTCGCTGTTTTTCAGAGTGTAGGCAGGTTTTTGTAACTATGCTGCATTCCTGAAACTGTCATTGAGAACAGCCAGGTAACACGGATCAATCCCTTTGCTGGGAGCTTTAGAGGGATGCCCTGAATTGCAATCGTTGCAGTGAGCTTATCTTCCCTTTTGAAGTACTGAAATCTTATTTCAAATTCAGCAACTGTTTTTTCTCCCTGTCTTTGAAGGTAAGGAGGAAAGTCCAGTGTTCGCACTCCCTCTCCTCTTAAAACAGGATCAGCAAGCTGAGAAACTGTTTTTGCATTCATTTTCATGGAAGTTTGAATGCATGTGCTGTGGCTACAAATACCTGGACCGGTGAGATTTTTTTTATAAATGTGCCTTCTCTTTAACTGTCCTACTGTAGCTTTGAATCTGCATGTAATAAAAGACTTTTCTTTGCATCTCCAGGTCTTGTATAGCTTAAGTTTCTGGGTGAAGTTTTATGTGAACTGCTTCTTCAGTTTGACATTTGCAAGTGGTTTACTGCTGTGCAGTGTCTTAGGAAACCACATTATCTCTTAACTAAGAAAGAAATAATAGGTAACAGCAAGTGGCTGGCCATGCTCGCTCTGATCTTGTGCTGAGAATACACAGGTTGTTGCTGTTCTACAGAATATGTGCCTAGCATGCTTTTACTATTGAAGGATATCTGTAATGTACACTGGGATTGAAAAGAATCAGAGATTTTAATGTGTTTTAAAATAGTGTTACAGGCAAGTCATTTCTTGAGGGTTGGTGTAATTCATGTAGCCACAGGTCACTTAGGCTGTTAGAGCCCAGAGAAAGGGACCTCATCTTTATGAGACAGCTCATTTTATTTGAAAAATGCCTGTTTCTCTCCACTAGAGCAATTATAGAGGAGTCTTTTCTGCAGCTAAGGAAGAAACTACATTATTTAATATCCCATACATTGTATTTTCACCCAATACAACTTCTTTGTAATCTATGCTCTGAGTGTGCTGGGTTTTTTGATTGGTTGGTTTGTTGGTTGTTTTTTTAAACAAGACACTGTACTGTGTGCATTGTGAGATAGTGACCACTTCCTTCTCTCCTTGAGACATCGCAGTAGCTAGTGAATTGCACAGATCCTTGTGGAAGCTCTACCATTCCTTAAAAAGGAAGCAGAGATAACATGCTAAGGGAGAAGGAGCATATAATGCTCTGCTCGAGGCTGCAGAGCTGCTGAGAGCAAATGGTGACTGATAATGTGTGGCAGAACTGAATTCAGCGCTGTCTTGGATAGAGTGTAATCACAGAGGAATACATGCAAATGGCATGAATATGAATAGAATTTAGCTTTGTCATAACGTGCAACTTTTTCCCCTTGTAAACTGCAAATATTCATTGTTTTCTAATCAGCAAATTGTCTTACTCTGTGTATGTGTGTGTCCAGATGTAGGAAAACACTAACAACGTTCACAAATGTAATCCCTGATTGGCATCCACTTAATGCTGTTCATGTTGCTCCGTGCAATAACTGCAGTGATAGATCTCAAAGAAGACAGATGATTTTGGAAAAGTGAGTTTTGACAAATGAACTTGAAAATAAAATGGATAAAATTCTGTGATTTCATGTATTGAACATAGTATCACTTTCAAAACTAAACTGTTGTCTTGGGTTTACAGATGAAAAGCTTTAAGCTCTGATAAGTACTTCTTTAGATGTTAGGTATTCCTTAAAGGCTGAAACTGCAGATGGTTTTTACATGAAGCATAGAAGGAACAGTTTTTAACACGCTGACTAGCACATAGGTTTGAGCTAGGTCATGCTTTCTACTCAGTAGTAAAAGTCAACAACTGATAGCCAATCTCAGCATTTCTGCTGAGATTTTGGGATTGGTGAATAAAACTATTTTCACCTATTTATTTATTTGCCTTGGGAACAATGTCTTTTTGTACTATGATTATGATGCAGTTGTCTTCTGTTTTTTCTCACCTTTTCCCCACACCCAAAGTCCTGTACATATTTTGCCTTCTTTTTTCTCCCCTCATCTTTCACAAAATAGAGCATCCAGTTGGAGATGTCTTTTTCCTTGAGTACAGCACAATTGTAAGAGTGCCGTGTAGAAACAGAATAGTAAGGGCAGAACTCTTGAAATGCCTTGCACAAAGCTTTTGTTAAGGAATTTTTGTCACTATTTTGTTGTAACAAACTGTTTCTTTATTGTCTCCTTAATAGAGTACCCTCAGTACTAATGTTCCATTTCGTAGAAGGCTTGCCACATAACAACCTGAAGAGTTACTCATTTCAGCTTGAAGAAGAAATCTACCAAATAACATCTGTTATTCAGTATGAAATGCGTAAGAAGCACTTCATAACCTGGTCATTGGATCCTGATGGTAAGAAACATTAGGTCTGTGTACAAACAGTACTTTGAGTACTACATCAAGTAGTGTTTCATGGGTTATTGGATAGTCAGACAGTAACAAGGATTTATTTTGTCTGCATCCTAAACTTAGGATTTTGTGAATCATTGTAGGAACTTTGTTATTTAGGGTGAAGGTTTAGTTTTGATTTAACTGACTTCTTCAGCAGTGTTCTGCCTTCATGGGCAGAAGTTATTTGGGTAGAGTCATTTCCTTTCAAAACTTTGTAAAAGTTTAATAATAATTAAAAAACAAAACAAAAAAACAGTGAACAGTCTAAGCACGGCTGTTGGACAAATAGCATCAGTTATTTTGAAGCCGATAGTTGGTCCTTTCTTGACTGGAAATTGGGGAATGTGTGGAACTAACAGAATTAATGAAGTTTGTATTCATTCCTGAACTTAGCTGCAGCTGAGGGGTGGGAGGCAAACATGCATGATGGAAACATTGTCAGTGGTATGATGGTTATAGCATTGGTGGCAGCAGAGCTTCATCTGAGTGGAACTCTGAAATTGCAGATGGTAAAAAGATGGTATCTAATTTTTGTGCTTCTCTAGAGAGAGTGGAGTGCAGCCTTATCAAATGTTTTAACAGTATGAAAATTGTGTAAGTCATACTACCTGAGTTTAATTAAAAAAGAAAGAGGAAGCAGCTGGTAAGGAAGCACCTAGTAAGGAATATCCTAAGCATCGTGTGTATGTGGTCTGTGTCTGTTTTAAAAAATTTCAAGCAGTAAAATACTTGATGAACAATTTGCAGATGATGAGGCAAATTCACAAAATGAGCAGTTTCTCTTAAACCCCCGTGCCTTCCATGTAAGGAATGAAAAGTTCTACCAAGAAGCTTAAGAGGTGGCTCTTTGCTCAGACGTGTGCAGTATTTTTAGCCAAGACGTCAGCCTTATTAGCTCAGGCAAAAAAAACTTAGCTTTGTTTTTCAGTAGACCTTGTCTGACTTGTAATAATATTGCTGCAAATTCTGCTTGGGGTGATCTTTTTACAGTGGAAACCTCCCGGTTTTCCTCTGATATAATACAGAATGAAGGAGAAGAAAATATAATTACTGCTTGTCAGGTTAATAAAAATGCTTGACAAGTGTCAGAAGATGGAGACTTCAATTTCAAAAGCCTCTTAGTCACTGCACTGGTTGTTGTTTATTTTTCAGGAACTTGGCTTGAATGTGATGATTTAAAGGGTCCGTATTGCAGGAGACACAAAAGATTTGAAGTTCCTCCGACAGAGATTCATATTGTCATCTGGGAAAGGAAAGCATCCCACTTGCCAGAAGAACAGAATTCACGGCATCAGAGTAAACATATTGAAGATTCTACTATTAATAATGTGCAGTTAAATTCCACAGTGTTGCACCACGGTTTTGATAATGCTGTACACAGTATACCTGCAGAAGATCACAAAGAAGATTCTGTGAGAATTCCAGATGAGAAACAGCAGCGGGTAGCTGAGGGTGAAAGGGCACACTGTGGCTTAGAAAATCTTGCCCGTGATGACCTTGTAGCTCAGATTCTTGAAGAAACTCCACTTGACTCAGAGGGTAAATCAATGCTGAACAGAAAGATGATGGAAAATAACCTTGTTGTTGAAATGAGCTCAAGGGAAAAGCAAGAATTGGCTTTTTCACCTAACACTCCCTATCCAGGGGAGCTCATTGGAACTGATGTACCTATGAATGATAAAAACACGCTATCTGAAAATTCCAGCATTTGCTTATCTCTGCAAGAGTTGAATCCAGCAAGTATTACTCCTCCTGTACCCAAAAAACATGACCCCAACCCATCTGACTCATTATTTGCTCAAAGCACAGATGGTAAAGCTAACTTACTTAATGGAGAACGTGGTTTAAGTTCAGGACAAGAGATAAACTGTAAATTGCCACCAGTAGAGAATGTTGTAGAAAAATCACCTGACCTGAAAGGTGCAAGCAAAATTGCAGTTCATTCTCAGGTTACAAGTTCTTCTGCTGATAATAATTCCTTTCAGCCTTCAGAGAAAGACCAAAAAAGAGGATTTGTAGGAAGCTGGGTAAAAAAACTGTTAAGCAAGAATACTTCTTTTCTGCCTTCAAGTGCCTCGATGCCCAAGAATGAAAGAAGCTGCAAAACTCCCTCCGTGCAGAAGTTAAGTGACACATGGTTGCCAGTTAAAGGAGCAAGTAACTTTGGTGGATTTCAAGGCAGAGGTGAACGCAGAGCATCTCAGTCCCTAACATCAGTGCTTCCTCGGAGTAATAATGCTCACTGTTTATCGAAGTTCAAAGGATTTTCTCAAGGCACTTGTCTTCCCCAGAATCATAATGCTACGGAAGGCCTGAATGGGAATAAGTCAGGCAGTACTGTGGGTAGCTCTGGTAAAACAACTCAGGTCCATCCGCCTAGCTATAATTCCGTGAAGGCAGAAGAGTCAGATAGTGACAAAACAAGGAAGCTTCGCCTGAAACTGTTAAAAAAGCTTAATGCTAAAAAGAAGAAGTTGGCTTCACTAGACAGGCTAGCAGTGGAACAGGCGAAACGTGGAAAACCTGTTGCTAGCTATGCAAGTGCCCCTTCACAGACTGAATCTCATAATGATAGTGAATTACTGCAGAGCTTTTTAAGGGAACTGCAGTATCACATTGATGCTGCCGATAATTCGTCTGAATTCAGTGTGAACTCAGGATGCAGTAGCCATAATAGTAATGATGAAATACTGGCAGAATTACTGTCCCCTACTTCAACTGTTGCTTCCTCAGAGGTTCCAAAAAGTGAAGATGAATGTATGTATATGGAAATGGTAAATAGCAGCAGTGCTGCACCAGCAGAGCCTGCTGAGAAGACCAGCGTATCTCATGCAGCACTGACAAGTGAGGACCACAGTTATTACAGTCCTGAAAAGGGCAGTAATTATGAACACACAGTGAGCAAATCCAGTGTGAAAAAATTTGGTTTTGAGAGTCCCACAAGGGAAGATATCCTTGAAGACCTGTTCTCCATTTCAGCACCAACCACAATGGCAGGTGACATAGATGTACCTCATTTTGATGAGACGCTCTTTGAAACTTGGTGAATGTTTGGTTTATTAGGGTTGTGGGTTTTTTTTTCCAACATTATGTATATTTTGAAACAAATGGCTATTAAATTATATTTTCTAACAAGTTTAATTGCACCCTGGCTGTACTTGAACACTTTCCACTGCAGTTGTTCTTAAAACTTTATTGTAGCAGGCAAAGTGCTTTGAGGCATTTTGTTTTTTTAAGAAACCCTTATTTTAGCAGATATAATGATGCATTCAAACACAGCTCCTATGAGTCTTAACTTTTTTGCTGCTTTTAATATGGGAAATGTACCCATGTTTTATTGGGTTTGAAAAATAACAGACTTCAGTATTCTAGGTGTTGTAATGGCATGAGGAGTACTTTAGGTAACACGGATCTGTTTTTCAGGATCACCCAACTCCTGAAGTCTCTTTGTCCAGTATTTAGGGGAAAAACCCACCATTCTGTAATAATGGATTTTTGTCTCCTTTGCTGCAAAGATTGTATGCAACTCTCAACTCAAATGGTGATACTTTGGAGTTTTTGAGAATTACTGTTCTGTAAGCTCCCCTTCCCTGGATCCGAAGAAGGACTGATGCAAATACTAGTACTTCCCTTTGAACTTAGGGCACCTGCTGGGTTTTCATCCTGGGTAATTGAAAATATAATTTGACTGAACATTATTCAGAGCCGGGTCATTTTCTTCAAGTAAATTAAATAAGATCTGGGCTAGAGTTTGCTGTGCTAAGAGATACCCAATGTAACTTTTATTCATGCATTGCTGCGAATTCACTAATGAAAGAAAGATTTCTGAGAGTGGAACTGTGAATTAGCACTTACTGCTGTTGTCCTTAGGGCAGCCCACCCCTATCTGTATACAAGCGAAGGGCAAGGAGAGGCAAGATCCATAGGACAAAACTTACAGAGAACATGGCAAGACACACTGAGTAGGAAGAGAGAGAAGATCACTGACATTGTGGCGTTTCTGGGTCTGTGTATGGCTGTCATTTTGCTAGGTGGGAGTCTTTGGAAATCGCGGATAGAGAGGTGAGGTTCTGTCTGCTGAATTGGAGTAACTGTATGTTTTTCTAGTACGTGTGATAATGAGAATTTCATCAGCAAGTCTTTGTTTCAGTTACTTCTAGAGGTACTCTATATTTTTTCCTTTCTATCCTGAATTTAAAATGTCTTATCTTCAAATAGATGTGTTTTGAACATAATTGTCATTACAAAGCATGGCTACAGATGTAAATGGTCCTTGATAGCTTGAACCAGGTTCAGTAAGTGATTGAGAATCTGTCAATGGCACTGAATGCACCTTGACAAGTTGTTTCTGTTGTAATTGCATACATGTTTATTGAATTGGCACTTCAGACAATTACTGGTTTCATTCTTGGAGTCTTTGTAAAGAGGTGGAGCTCCTCTTTGTTTTAGATATTGTGACTGGTACGTTGCAATAAAAAATCAGTGGGTTCTCCATGTGAAGTACCACTGTTCTGCTGGTGAAATGTTTGTTGGTCTGTTCACTTTGTAAAAAGAAAAAAAATAAAATAAATTGTTGACCAAAATTAGAGCTTGACTTAACAGCAAATAATCGACAAGCCTTGAGGGGGTAATAGGATTTTCCTGGGGAGTTTTCCAACCCGTGGTTGTGCAAACCACAGAAGAGCAGTGTGTCATTACCACTAATTGCTTGCTGCAGGGGTTTCCCTAAGCAGTGGGGAACTGCTTCCAGCATAGAGACCATCTGCAGTGCACTGGGCTGCAGCTCCTTGCAGCTGTGATATGGGAACTGCCTCCCTGCTGACTCAGGACATGACAGACTCAGGGATGGGTGAAGCTGTTCTCCTGGGGTTGGCGCGATACATAACGAAGAAAAGACCCCTCTTCAGTGGGATATAGGAGGTGGAGGTTGTGAAAGGAGATGAGGCAGCCCTGCTGCAAGGAGTGTGATGAGGTTAATAGCAAGGAAAGAGGATATGAGGTACATCTGCTGTGCACGTGTTGCCTAGGCAGAAAAAAAATACATGGTCACCACTGCCAACATCTGCAAACTGACAAATGGAGTCCTTGGTATGCAGCAGTGTGGGGTACAGTGTGTGTAAAAGCTCCAGGGGCAAATAAATAGCACTTAAGATTGAAATTGGAAATATGTGTCACTGGTGCAAGTTTTTGCTTCTCTTTTTTTTTTTTTTTTCCCCTGAAAGTGAAAGATGTTGCTGTGCACTTCGTTGGTTTACTTGCATAAATATTTTACTGCAGTTGATTCCACGCAAGTGAAAATTCATCTGTGTTCTTAAATGAAAACTCCTTGACCAAAGCAAGAGTTTGGAATTCTGTGGTTGCTTCTTGTTTGAGACTAGATTTAAAATGCGGGCTGGACATTCAGCTTTGTGTCATTAATAAAACCATGAAGCCTTAGTTTTCTGACAGATTTTCAGCCTCTGCCCTCCCCCACCCCACCCCCCAACCAGGCAGAATACCTGTGGGAATTCTGCTGTAGACACTGGCTGGTTACTAACCTGATTTTGGTCTTGATGTTTTTAATGGGCTATTGCCATTAATTCTTCATCCAGCATTGCTTTTTGGCTTGAACAATTATTGCCCCCCAACAGCGTGTCGATGGGGAGCGGTTGTGCTTTGTCTCTTTCTTTTGCAGAGCTGGTTTATATCATTGAATCTGCCCTTGAAGTTGGAGCACTCGCCTCCTGCGCGCAGCTCCTGAGCGTGTGCTCTGCTGCAACATCCCCCAGGACACAGCTGGGAGCAGAGGAGCTTATGCAGTCTAAGTATAGGTGTAAGACACAGGGAAAGACTAACGCGATTACGCGATTCAGCACGGCCCTGCCATACCAAGATGTGAGCTGGCTCTGGTGTAGCAGAGCCGGAACTGCAAGCAGTGCAGAAAGCTGTGACAAGTTGGATTTTCAGGGCGTTTGAAACTGCTTTAGTGGGAATCCACCCCATTCCTCTTTCCTCCATGGGAAGAACAGAGTTCTAAATGCTTTATGCTGCCATAAAGGTTCTTGCCGACTGCCTGTAGCTCAGTTCCAACTCGACTTGTCCTCAGGCTCAGACGAGCAAAAACCCCTTGCGACTACAGTATATTGGGTGCAAGCAGTGACAGCGAGGTGGAACCTCGCACCCTTTACAAAGCTGTCCCACCTTCACTGAAGCTGTTTCAATGCTCCTGTAGTCTGTCCTTTCACGTAGAGGGGAAAAATTATTTTGTGCCGAGTGAACCAGGCCGTGCAGAAAACCACGCTGCACTTGCTTTCGCAGCAGCGGTTTTATAGAATAGGAAAATGGACGTTTGCAAAACAAGAGGGAGGGAAAAACGCGAAAAAGTTGGTGTTTCCGCCCGGTTTCGAACCGGGGACCTTTCGCGTGTTAGGCGAACGTGATAACCACTACACTACGGAAACTTCCCATGTCTGAAGTGCTCCCAGAGCTCACCTTCAGGGCAGCTCCACCGAGCGCTGGCCGCCTGCTCTTTGCGCTTTCAGCTGTATCAACTCTTCAAAAACGGAGGGGGAGAACGGAGGGCAGCTTCCACAGCCACAAGCCGGAGGCAAGCAGCAGCTGGTTGCCACAGGGAGGAAAAGAACCGCAGAAATAAAATAGCGCATCCGTCCCTGGGTGGGCTCGAACCACCAACCTTTCGGTTAACAGCCGAACGCGCTAACCGATTGCGCCACAGAGACCCGCTGAACATTCCACCTTACGAGGTCCTCCTGATCACTGATCACTCCATATTCCTGGGTGGCTGATAAACGTTTCAAGTTTTTCTTTTTGTTTTTTTTTTTTTAATCTAAAGACACCGATTAGCTTTTTTAATCTGAAGAATTTAGGAATATTCATTCTCTCTCTCTCTCTCTCTCTCTCTCTCTCTTTTTAAATCTCCATTGTTTCTACAACCTTCTACATACAGAGAGGGAAACAGCAGACAAGCAGAAGAAAATACAGCCTACAGCTGTGCCTGGGGGCAGGGAGCTGCAGGTGGAAGCCTGGTAGCCTCTCAGATTCATAAAACCCAGCAAAGACCAATGAGTGTACTCCAAGAGAGAGGAAGACAAAATTTAGCACGTGCTGATCAGTGAGTGCATGGCTGAAGCATCCAAACGTCCTGAAGTTCTATTAAGAAAGGGCTAATTGGGACAAGGGACTTGAGGAACAGGAGCCAAAATTCATTCTCACATGTTTAAGAACCCTGCCAAAGCCATTAGGCCTCAGGGAAGGCCTTACTGCTCTCTACAAGTGCCTGAAAGGACGGTGTGGAGAGGTGGGGGTGGGCCTCAGGAAACAGCTATGGGATGGGAGGAAACGGCCTCAAGTTGCACCAAGGAAGGTTCAGGTTGGAGAGTAAGAAAAATTTCATCTCAGAAAGGGTGGTGAGGTATTGGCACAGCTGCCCAGGGAGGTGGTGATGGCACCATCCCTGGAGGTGTTCAAGAGCTGTGCAGACATGGCTCTAAGGGACGTGATTAGTGGGCATGGTGGTGATAGGCTGACAGTTGGACTTGATCTTAGAGGCCTTTTCCAACCGTAATGATTCTATGGAGGGTGTATACGAGTCTACACTTGAAATCAGTAAGCGATCAAACAACCTGTATCCTGTGACACTTGTATGTAGGACTTCCCATGTTGAATTTAGTTTGGACACTTCACTGGAGATTTTGTGCCGAGCTGAGCAGATATCATAAGTGGAGAAACACATCCCACAAGTTATTTATAGGTCTGCGCTCAGTCCTTTCCTGTTCTGTCTGAGAGCATTTCTACAAAAGATTTTCAGAGAAGGAGATTAATGTGCTGGAGGTCTCACAGTGCAACGGGAGAAACTTGCTGGCTTTGCACGTTTCCATGGGCTCCGTGGCTCTATGTGTCAGGTTTATGTTCCTAACACAGCAAGATGAGGGTTTCCAGCAGTGATGCAGCAAGCAGAGGGGATCCAGCAGCAGTGGGGGAAAAACAGCATCGCCCCTGCCTGGGACTGGGGGCTGCAATGAGTGCAGGCAATTTCCTGCAACTCTCATTGTTGGACAGTCATACCAAAAACATTCTCACTAGCACAGCTCTTTCCTCCTTGCATTAAGAAATCAGCTTAGGAAGTCCTGGAGCTGATGCAATTACATTTCTTTTTGGTGGGGGAAGGAGAAGGAAGGGAATACCAAAGCATAGCGAGAAGGGGAAATGAGGACTGCATGTTGCTCAGCACAGAGCTGCAGGAGGAAGCTCCTGAGTCCTAAGTGGTGCCAGGGGGCAGACAGGGCTGGATGGGGCCTGGGGAGAGCAGAGTGGCAAAGAAAAGCAATGAAATTGAAAGAGAAATGGGCTGGGGAGGGTGGGATGGGAGGAAAGAGAAGGCATCAGCAGCCAACTGTCGTAGGCCAGGGCTGCTAGGCTGGAAAGCCAGCGGCTCCTGCTATTTTATTTTAATTTTTGCATTATGGTAATGTCAAACTTCATGTTAAATGCCATCCTTGAGCACAAACGTACCAAGAGTTAACTCTCAGAAAAAATCACAGTCCCAAATTATGCCAGATGTTGCTGCTCACACAGCAGTGTCTGTGCTGTCCATCAAAAACCAGCCTCTGACTGCTCACAGGCTACATTCATCAGTTCCTGACCACTGACATGCTTCTGTACATTTGCTTGTACCCAAATTACGTGATCTTCTTATCAATTACTTCAGGTGATAACAATTTGCATGATAGTGAGGTTGGGTAAAGCCACAGCTGTAGATGAATTTCCCATCTCAAAAAGGAGCAGATGGGTTTTTTCCTGGAAGGACTTGTGCACTTTGATGAGGATGTTTTCCAGCTGTCTGATAGAATCGTAGTTTCATAGATCATAGAATGGTTGGAAGGGACCTTAAAGCCCATCCTATTCCAACCTTGCACTGTGGGCAGGGACAGCTCCTACCACCTCAGGCTGCCCAGGGCCCATGCAGCCTGGCCTCGAGCACCTTCAGGGATGGGGCACCCACAGCTTCTCTGGGCAGCCTGAGCCTCACTGTCTTACAGAAGACACCATGAGCCTCCTGCATCTCGTGTTCCCCTGTCACCTCTTCCCTGGGATCAAAGCTGGGGCAGGAGACGCCACAATAACTCTTTTCATCCGTACTGGGCTCAGACTAGGGAAACTGCAACTTGAAGGGTTGAGCTTGTAAATCTGAGGGTTGGCAGCTGCCACCATCTTCTAGAGGGAAGTGTTGTCTCACATTTCTCCAGGCTTCACCTGTAACTAAGAGGATGCAATGAGGGACGCTGTATGCTGCAGCTGCGCTGTGCTGGCAGACACCCAAGGATGGGGTGCTGCTCTGCTCCCACAGGGTTGTAGGAAGTATTTCACGATCTGAGATAACTCAGACCCTCACTTCCTCCTTCTGCACTCACAGGGCTGAGCTGCTGCCACGGCTGCACTTCTGCCCACTGCCTGCTCACAAAATGGATCAGGAGACCCTGGGGAGCGTCGTCCTGCTTGCCATTGTCACCTTGATCAGCGTCAT